ATTTTAAATTGAATAAAAATTAGTAACAACCATGTGTGGCTACGACATGTCTTATCTGGGCTGCCTTTTTGTAGAAATACTACAATGAAACTTGATCCATGCACTTTCTCTGTGCACTGATGAGAGATGGTTTATCTATAAAGACACATGCTGAAAAGCGGGTTCCAGTTTCAATGGATACGTTGCCATGTGGTGAGCATGAGTCTGTGTGTGCACAAGCAGACAAAAAGCAAACACTGCTTTTATGTAGTTTGCCTTGCACATTAAAAATAGCATGTATGAAATTTGTGACGTGCAGTGGGGCCATGAGTACAGTGTTGGTAGTTCATTCAAGTCTGAAATTACGATTGAACATTCATTGTCTTTCATTCAATTCCTTTTATACTTCAGTCAGCATATACATAATGCACAATGTGTAGGTAATCTACCTCTACTTTGTGGAAATTCGCCTGTTCAATATAAACACACATATATTTCTAATAATTACAGTATTGGATAATCTTCATTCGAAGTTGGGGCACATAGACTTAGTATTGCAGGGGCTCTCTTCCCCCTGATGCCCTCAACCCCTAGAAACGCCACTGGTAGCCTAATGATGCATTGCACTGAATCAAGTTTAAAAAGGAGAGGCAAGAGTTGAGAGCCAGTGACAAAATAATACAGTAGCTAGTACAAAAGGGTTCAAGTTAGAATAGTATTCGTCCCTTACATTCATAATTCAAGAGCTGCTACTGTATAATATCTGTTTTCTCATTTGACCGATATAGGTGTGGCATATGAAATCTCTTGGTCAAAGTTCAGGTTACATTGCACCGAGGAGAGTTTGCCATGCAAAGCAAGGGAGTTTTATTTATGTAGCACATTTCATACACAAGGCAGCTCAATGCGCTTCACACAAAGACACAACACCTATAAGCATTTACAAACAAACCAGTTAACGACATTTAAAAGCAAAGCAGAAAACAAAAGTATAGCTATGATGTGGCCCGCGATTAAATGAGTTTGCACCCCTGAAAATATTTCGAGTCCTCTATGTGAAAAGTACAATAACAATTTACGTCCTTACTTTTACCATCAAACATTTGGGATTATATATATTTTATATTCTATCCATCGATCTATAGATACAGACACATAGATATATAGATATATATATAATTTTCAAAGTATTCATTAGAGATTAGAATAAGGTTTCTGCTTTCAAGGTTCATGCAAATCATTTTGCCGTGTCCGTAGACCGGCCCCACAAACCATACCCGCCCACCACCAGCACCCCCCTCCTCTTCCTCCTCCACCCTCCCTCCCTCTTCCCCTTTGCGCGTCTCGGTCTGCCCGCAGCAGTCTCCTTCCCCGGCGAGCTTCCACTTCAGAGATGGCTGCGAAAGTGTGTAGATCAGTCTTGCTGTTGTCCCGAAGCGGCGGAGCGGCGATCGGCAGCCTCCCAGCACTCGTCCCCCCTTCTCCGCGGCACCAGCAGCACATCAGACCGGTAAGTCCCAGGACGTGTCCGAGAGAGCGAGCATGGAGTAAGGGAGGGAGGGAGGGAGGGAGTGGGTGAGAGGGACGCGGAGGAACTGGCTGCCCGGAGCGGGGCGCACGGTGACGGCCGGTTGGGCTTGCTACGGAAGTAAAAGCTAACTAGCCTCAAGGTTTCCCGCACAGCTCTTGTCTTGAGATTGCGTAAACGTTGGGGCTCATTGTGAATCAGGAAATGCGTCTCAATCTGGTGTCGCTTGCGAGTTACTGTATTTCCACGCAGAGTGGGACGTGGAGCTTTGACAAGGTGGCAATGCAGTTGTTAGAAGCGCCTGCTGATGAAGACCATCATCTGGCGAAGAACCGGCCGCGCACTCCTAAACTAGACCTCGTTTCTCCTTTTATCTGCCATCATACACTTCAACTTTGTAGATTTCATTTGCTGGCGTGGAAGTGTTTGTGAACACGTGTCATTTCTTTACGCGTCTTGGGGAGTCTGCTATAAATGTTGAGCGTGTGTTAACGCCTACAGTATGTCTGATGTTCAGTGGGGCAACCTCTTTCTTTCCTCTGTATGCTGTGAAACTGCAGCGTGTGAGTGGGATGAGAGTGTAGTTTTTGCTGCAGTACCATCAATGCTTGCACACATCTTAAAACGCCTCAGATGTACTCCTGTGCCTGGAATTGACATAAACATAAACACAGACTTTAAACATGATACTTCACAGTAACATCTTGACATGGATGATGTCAGACGGCCTGCCTGCTGGCGAGCTCCCCTCCCTGCGGGTGTTTCCCCATTCATCTGGGAGATTCATGTGTTTTCCTGCAGGCGGCTGCAGATTTTTATTTAAGCTGTTGGGCAAGAATGCAGTTGTTGCTCATCTTGTTCCTACCTAATATGCTGAAGCTCCTCTTGAAGCTTTTACAACCGCAGTGACCCAATGAGAGAGCAGATGTGCCAACAGGGCTGAAGAATGAGGAAGCATGTGCAGAACTTACTCTCTTTTTCTATTTGCCTTACATCTGTCTTTACATTTACAATCAGTGCTGACTCCTGCTTAATACTAAATCTGGACAGTGGGACCTTGACTTGTGAGTACTGTATATATCGCTAGTTTGTCAATATGATTCAGCAGAAAGTACGACACACACTCTGGAGTACATTTGTGTGTTGATGAGCGCAACCTATTGAGTACGTTGATGAGCGCAACCTAGTGAGTGATGTTTGGAGCTTGGAGTCAGTTGGGTTATTGTTACCTCCATGCTCTTTGCCAGTGTTTTCATTTCATGTTTGTGTGTTTAATTCTTTGTCAAATTTAATGAACAGCTAAAAGTGCATCAGCAACTGATTTGATTTTTTGTTACTTAACAAGGCTTAGACCGAGACCAATTTGGGTGCCCAGGCAACCACATTTGTCAATGAGGTTGCACCGGTGCAATCAGCCATTCGAGGGGTGGGGGAGGATGATATTAATAATTCGCTATATTTCACCTTTGTACCAAATGATTGCTGAACTGCAATTTTTGTGAACCGAGCCGAGTTTGTTGTACTTTATGTTTTCACAATATTTTATTTATTGTTCTACATTTTAATGTCAGTGTATCTGAAGTTCACCTGTTATTCATTTTGGCTGTCAATGCGAAGCACAAAATGGACTAAAAAAAACTCATAAACTGGCACACCCGTACGCCAAGGTAGCAGCACTGTGTACAATTTACTGCTGGGCCTGACTGGAATCTGGGAATGCTTACTGCGAACAAGCTGATTTTGATAGACACATTATATATAGTTTGTGTTGTTACCCACTGTCACACATCTCCTCATAGATGCAAAGCCTCTGGACCCTAGAGGCTCACAACTAGCCTCCACCAAATTACTATTGAGTCCGCTGTCATATGAAATGCAGCTCCCTTCAAGTGTGTCTCAGTAGTTCAATCATTGTGGGTAAACCATCCACCCATCCATCCATTTTCTAATCCGCTGATCCTCACAATGGTCACGGGCATGCTGGGACCTTATCTCAGCTGTCCTGGGACAGTAGGGAGGGTACACCCAAAACTGTTTGTGGCGAAAACGGTGTAAACGGGGTACGTTGAAAAGAGGTGTGACTGTATTTGTACAAGGATGGTTTCCCCGCCAGCACGGTGGTCAACTGGTTAGCACATCTGTCTCAGAGTGCAGAGGTGCAGGGTTCGATTCCAGCTCTGGCCTCCCTGTGTGGAGTTTGCATGTTTTCCCTGTGCGTGCATGGGTTTTCTCTGGGTCCTTCGGCTTCCTTCCACATTCCAAGAACAAGCATGGCAGGTTAATGGTACACTCTAAATTGTCCCTAGGTGTGAGTGTGAATTGTTGTTCATCTGTGTGCCCTGCAATTGGCGGGCAACCAGTTCAGGGTGTACCCCGCCTACTGCCCAATGACAGCTGGGATAGACTCCAGCACGCCCGCGACCCTTATGAGGATAAACGGATTAGAAAATGGATGGATGGATGGATTATAAACCTATACTGAGTCAACATACTGCACCTAAAATAGACGGATTAATGGTGAAGGTACAGATATATATTTTTTGTAAGTTGCACATACAGATAGCTCATATTCTGTTTTTGCTATCAAAGCTGATGTGTTCATCATTAAAGCTCAGCAGCTTGTAGTTGGGGCCATCAGGTCAAGCCCCTCCAGCCTTCTAATCCAATAAACGTGGGCGTAAACTCATTTATCCATGCTGCCTTCACTGACTTAGTGCTGAAGTTATCAAGATGAGTGTGATAAGAGAGTGGCTGTCATCTGGGAGAAGGTGCATCGCTTAAATGACTGACAAAGCTGTCTTCAGAAGCTGTCGCTTTATTGTGATCTTGTCCTTGATGGTCAGTGTGGCGTTGAAGATATGATTTCATGTTTACATCAATGACTGAGTCAATTTGTGAGTACCTTGTGTTTTTTTTAGATAAAACCTGGGCTGAGGTTGTGGGAGGTATGTTTGTACTTTCTTACAAAGAATCACATGGACTGTATTTGTTGTTGGATTTTTTTTTTCTTTTGTCATTACCCAGAACAAATCCTACCTTATTAATTATAATTGGTATCTTGGAAGATCAAAGTGCTTCTTATCTATTGTCATATGCATTCAATAATTTTTCACTATCTTGAAATTCCAAAGCCCTAAAAATCATACAATTTGGGAACCAAGCATAATTTCCAATAAAAACAGATTCCCAAGATGGGTGGTTGAATTGTGTAAATGTCACAGCTCAGTGATCAGCTAAAGGAGTAACTCCATAATTTAATTATTTTATTTTGTTTAAATTTTTTATTTCGGTCATGTCAACACACCACAGAAGGGTTTGTGATGAGGGTAGCCATGATTGCTAACAAGAAATGTGGGATGATGAGCACAAATCAAGAAATAGAATCTACGACTCATGTGCTCAATATTATATAATAATAATAATAATAATAATAATAATACATTTTATTTAAAAGCGCCTTTCATGCCACCCAATGACACTGTACAGACAATAAAAAATACAATGTAAAAATAGATAAGAGAAATATTATATCGAAACAGGACATAAAATCACAAAACATAGGAAATGGAAGAATTATGTGTTGTAGGCAGTCCTGAACAGGTGTATGGCTAATTTGCTTGGCTAATGTTAGGACATCTAGCTCGAAATGCCTGATTCTGCAGGCTATTACTTTGCATATATGGTATGCCATGACCTATTGCAATATGGGATTTCTTTTGAATAATGACGGTGATTGAAAATAAATGAGTATGTATGCTGTTTACAGACACTGCAGTTAATGATGTTATGACAGTCCGAGTCTTATAGTGTAGAATTAATCTTATTTTTGGATGTTTATTATTTACCTTTGTTAATCTCAATTTCCCTCTCCATTTTTTAATTTGATGTAGAATTATTATCGCTCACTGTGAAGTTAAAAGGGCATGAAGAGAGCGAGGGTTCCTTCCGATGATACAGGATTGATCTGAGTCTTCATGGAGAGTTTAATGTATTCACTCGAGGGTCATGAGTAATGTGATGTGGTTAGCGATATGGCTGACTGTATACCGTATCCATATTTCCATCTTCTCGCTGACAGGTTTTCTACATTTCCATACAACCTGGTGCTATTGGCACAAATGCAGAATCTTGAGCAAGGTTGAGAAAGATGAAGGCAAAAGAATATCACACGCATGCCCATTTCTGTTTTACACAAGGTTTTGGCAAAACGAGGACTGATAACTGATATCTTCAGGTTTATGGAAATGATGGTGATTAATGATGGCCTTTGGAGAGAAGTTTTCACAGTGGGCTGCTATAAGTCAGAAGCAGGAAGTAGAGAGGAGACAGCTATTGTGTCTCCAGCCAGCCATGTCAGTTCACTCTGCAGCTGTTAGCCTTGTTTCTCAGCACAAAAGCAGTTAATTTTAATTGACAGATTTCTTGAGGATACTGTAGAGCGATAAAATGTTACGTTTGTCAAGCGCAATGAGCCCTGTGTGTTTGTGTTGTGCATCATGGGAGCAGCCTCCCATAAAGAAGGCATTGTTGCAGCAACTTTGTATGCTTCATTTTAGCAAGAGCACATATACTGTACTGTTAAGGGCTAATGTTCACACTTAAGTACTTGTCAAATTGTGGGCGGTGCCAATGTAATCTTAAGGTGAGTCACGTGTGACCCCAGAGAACGTACTCTATAATTTTTTTTTTCTGTTTTGTTTTTGTTTTTTTTGCTCTACTACGTCTGTAAATGTAATTGCACTACTACTACATAGTAGATGGAAGTGGCACTCTAAATTGTTAGCATGTGTGTAGGGAAGTAGAGCTCCACACGTGCACGGCCGACTGATTGACTGTACATTTGTTTACGCAGCCATGCTGGCATAATAGTAGTGGCAGCAGGTGAAGGATTTACAATGGAGAGCAGTGATAAAATTAGCATTTATCAGTCAACATTGCATCCAATTGAATTCACATGTCTTTTTGACAAAAAAGACAATAAGATACAAGTGCAATTTGAACAGGTTGGATATTACAGCTGCCTATCAAGCACCAGGAGAGGTTTTTACAACTATCGCGATGGCAAGTTGGGAGAACTACATTGGTGAGTCCTTGTGATCATACAAAGGGTTGTTGTAAAGTTATAAATTGTTTTATTTGTTTTTGTGTTCCATTGTGCTCCATACATCCAATATGTTGCATATGTACGCTTTGTCACGCTCACCAACTGTTTTCCTGTCATCCAGCAGTCCTGCCCTGGATGTGTTCATTGATAGGCACTTAAAGAAATGAAGAAAGTTCTTTCACTCCTCCTGCTGCCTCATCGGTATGCACAGTGCAATATTTTTCATTCTCCAACTCCTTGTCAGGCAGATCCTTCAGTGACTGCATAGCCTCCTGCCACTAAAAACTACTCTTCATAGTGCAGAGGCTGGAGCGGTAATGGATGAGACCATTGTGATTGGCCGGGTCCTCGTTAACATACTGGAAGGCATTACACCCATGAAGTGGTAAATGACTGGTGAACCTCAGCTCTTGGCATAGACTAATTAGCTGCCCCATGTTTCTGGGTGGCCTAGCGTTGCCCTACTCAAGTCTGCAAAGGACATTAAATTAGGCCAGTGTGTGTAATGTGGTGATGGATGGAAGCCCCGCTCGGTTACCCCTTATCTCGAGGACAGCGGGGCTGGTGCTGGTGCTGTGTCGGCTGCCAGGAGGAAAGGTGAGGGTATTGTTTGGAAATGAAGGTCATCACCTTCACTCACCTTCAAGTTGTCACATATAAAGAAGCTCATTACTGTGACAGCAGTCAACATTTCCAGAATGTGATGCTCTGCTGTCAGTTTTTATGTTTATATCCTTGAAATTGCAGCATAGCTAAAATCACTTGTGATGAAAATCCTTTTTTCCTGTTAGTGGTTTTGGAAAACCTGTGCTGTTTCCACTTTACTCTGTAAGATGTTTTCGTCCCCAAGTAAGTGCAAGTGAAAGACACAGCAAACAAACGAATGTAATTTATTCTCAATGGTGGCTGTTCAAGCACAGCATTTGTGCTTTCTTGTTGCCAGATTCCTCCACCTTGTTCGCTTCCCACATGTGTCATATTGACAGAGCTATGCCCTCCAAAAACATGAAGACTTGTCTAATTTATGCAGCTAATTATGGATAGAGAGGGTAGGCTTGACCTCTCCTTCATAGAGTATTGATTGTTTGTACCCTTGTTCATGCAAGTTCACCGCCACAAATTAATGCAGGCTAAAGGCGTGGAAGTAGAAACACCAAACACCGACACTGGGAACTAGGAGATCCTACATAGTTGATCTTGGTCTTGTATGATACTAAGCATTATTGCGTCTTGAATCAGTGACTACAACCACGAGAGACACTTTCTCAATCTGTGAAAATGAGCTTAATTTAACAGAGATCTATCTCCTAGGAGACAATGATTGCACAATGCAGAACACAGGTCAGTTTAATTTGGCTCATGTTCTGTGTGTGTGTGTGTGTGTGTGTGTGTGTGTGCGTGTGTGTGTGTGTGTGTGTGTGTGTGTGTGTGTGTGTGTGTGTGTGTGTGTGTGTGTGTGTTTATGACAGTAATCATGATTTCAAGGTGGTCCAAAATTGTATCTCTAACTTAAATTTTGATATTAGCTATGGCATTTTTTTCTTTTAGCTGAAACAAGTTGGACAACATTTTTTATAATAGTGCTTCAGTGTACTTTCTTTTCCACAATCTTGTTGCAGACTAAGCCCATTGTTTGTCTCATACGTTCCAGTAAAACATCTCAGCTGTTATATAAGAATGCATAAACCCCAATTTTAGATGTAGTGTATTCTCATAAAATTAATGCAATTGTGTCATGATACATTGCTTCAACACATTCTGTGAATCTTTTCCTCTCAGTTATCGCCCTTCTCTACTTTCCAACAAATTTACTGAATTGAAAACAATATGGTGGCCGTTGAAAGAGGCAGATGAATGATAACAACTGTGTCCAAAACATAAAGAATCATATTGGTGTAGCGCAGAAAAAGAAGAAACCTCTGCGACTGATTGGCAGCAGCAGAAAGTCATCATCCTGCCAACAGTGAGGCACTCCTTAATTGGTTGCTGCTATGTATGAAAAAGTCCTGTTAATGACTGAGGATTCCCTCGCCCTCAAACTCACCTCATTCACTCTGGAGGAAATAGAAATAGGCTTCCAGCGCTATTGCAACGTGAATACCACATCCAACATGGAAAATCAGTTTTACGTAGTACAGCTGGCCACTGTATGAAACTTTAATGTGAAAGCTTTTTCTGCTTTCAGATATATACAATGGGCCAACCAACCACAAAATAGGTTGAGTTTCTGTCCGGGGATTCTTGCCGATGGCTCACTAGTGCAGCATGCAATAAAAATGTCATCAAAGTCCCATAGAAATTTGGGGGTGTAATGACTCCATTGTTATAGTTTATAAAAATATAACACAGCACATTTGAGACAAAACCAGAAAGGTATTTAATATATATAAATGATTTTACAATTCACTATCAAATAGGGATCTGTGCCACCAAGGTTAACGGTACTCACTTTATCACTATACACTACAGGTTTGGCTCAGCTTAGCTCCACTTGTCTTGGTCTGGGCCGGTCAGTTTTTCCACTTGAAAATAGTACTTCATGAGACGTGACTGGAACGATGTGAACTGTGCCAGCCAGTATCGCCTTTTGATGCTCTCCACACAATATGTTGTCTACCATCTCTCTTCTTTTTATTTTTCATCCGAAAAAAGATCATGTGTGTGTGTGTGTGTGTCTCTCTCTCTCTCTCTCTCTCTCTCTCTCTCTCTCTCTCTCTCTCTCTCTCTCTCTCTCTCTCTCTCTCTTTCTCTTATAAGATGATTGTCATTGGCTAGATTTAACTTGAAAGGAGGTGTATGTTTGGTTAGCCTGAAGTCCACGTGACTGACACTGTCTTAATTTTCAATGTTAATATCTTGAATGTCCAGATCTAGATATTTATATAATCATGATATATTGCCCAGCAGGGTCCAGATTTAGGGCATATAAATGGAGTACGACAGCAACGGTGTCTGCATTGATTTTATTTATTTATTTTTTTTTAAGTTTCATTTTTTTATCTTATTTCATGTGATACAGTATAATGACAGCACAATTACTCACTTAGGTGTCGGCTTGGGACCCTGGCTGACAGAGTAAAACAATCACTATCTGCTTTTGGCAATACAACTGTGAGTATAGTCACATCAATCTAAGCAGTTAAACGTGGCCTAACTTTTTTTACGTCCCCCTTTTGTTGCTGTGTCATCAACCACATCCACCATTATTGTCGGATTTATTTGAACATAAGATCAGGTGTGTCCTCCAATGTACACGAGACAGGTCAGCATACAGACTTTCCTTGCTGGGTGAAGCCCAGTGGTGTTCTGTTGCCATGTAAATGAGAACTTTGCTGGTCTGAGTTAAACTGGATGAATGTGACACCACTCTTGTTTTTATGGCGTCACGGTTAATGGGAGTGCATGTTTGTTTCCACTTGAGTAGATTCTTTCTCCACAGTGGCTTTGAACTGTACGTTGCGAAGCAGGCTGCCGTTTGTTGGTTGGTTGGTTGTTTCCTTTCAGCCTGGCCCCCTATTCACTCTGGGTAGTTGGCACAAGTTAGGTGTAGCCATCACTTGGGAGCTTTATTGCTACTCTCTACTTGTGCCTGGAGCGATTAAATGAGGGTGACGATTAAACGTGTCCATTGAAATCGAATTTAAGCAGACGAATAGTGGTCATCAATCTCTGATCAATGCAAATTAAGCAGCTCAAGATATAGAATCAATATAGAACAACATGACAATGCTTTATAGTGTTACCCTGCTAACTTTTAGAAATGTGATGTAAAGGTACTTTTTGGCCCTTCCATCTATGGTTGAAAAAGATTCTTGAGTGTCAACTTTGAACAATGACAGTTTTGGATGAGGGCAGCACAATGAGGTTATAATCTCACTTTAGTCCCTCCTGTGTACATTTATGTGTTCTCCCTATTCTTTCATGGGTTGTCTCCAAAACGTTTGTGCTCGATTAATTGAAGACTTTAAATTGCCCACATGTGTGAATGCGAATATCAGTGGTTGTTGTCTATATGTGACCTACGACTGCCGATCTGGGTCAGCTGGGACGTGCTGCAGCTCATCCTACCATCCTGAATAGGATAAGCAAGCAGTAGAAAGTGAATTGCTCTAAATTAGTAAAGAATAACATACAGAAAGGTATACATTTGAGGGATGATTTATTTATTTATACATTTATTTAAATTGCTTCCAAGAGAAACATGTATATCATTGACCCATGAGTACATTTATAACTGTTGTGGCCTTTTTCCCTGTTTCAATCCTTGCTTGAAATGATCTCTTTGTGTTTTCTGAGAGATGTTGTTTGCAACCTTATGAGAGAGGCAGAAGTCAAGTACTGAGCCTTAACTGCGACAAATCACGCTCTGACAACATCCAGCGACTCCACGAGGCCGAGAGAACTAGACTTGCATCGCCTGCCTTGTTTACACTGTAATTAGAGATGCCGGAGTCTTGCCATGGAAGGCAGACACAGGAGATTCACTTTGCATGCGAATAATCATGATGTTCGCCTTTTTTCAACCGATCTCCCGTAGCATAAAGTCAAAGCATTAGTTGCAGCATCTTACTGCCTGCCTCTCAATGTAATTGATCATCCTCCATGTCTACCAAATTGCTAGTTTTTAAAAGTAATCTGTGGATGGAGCTCCCCTTTTACATGAGTTTTATATCAGCAATGGATTAATAACTGTGGAGTCGGGCTGCAACGAACATTAATTTCAATAATTGATTAATCCGTCAATTATTTTGTCATTTAGCCGATGAATTGGATGACAAAGATATGTTTAAATTATCATACCTTAATTCAAAAACATAAGAATAATTATTCAGTTACTGGTTTGTTCCATAACAGGTCAGAGAATTGGCACAAATGTCGACCATTGTTTTCCAAAGTCAAAGCAGATGTTTTATTTAGAATCAACACAATGATGATCAGTCCGCTTGCTTAGAGAACGACAGAAATTGGACAGTACTTACTGTTGAGAAGCTGAAATTCAGCGTCAGATTCTCGATTAATTTGTTAATCAATTAATCGTAGCTAACCTAACTGTTCAAGAGAGCAGCGCTGGCTGACGTAAGAAAAGTGGAATGGACAAATATAAAGTATGGTAATAACATTTTGCAGTAAATATAGTATGAAGCAAAGTTCTTTGCAATGACCAACACAAGGATTGACGTTTAAAAGTAATATAGTACAAGAAAAAAAAGAAAATGTTTTCAAACTTAGATTGTTATTCTAATTATTATTATGAGAAAATGAGGAGGCTAAAAACCTTTATTTTGCCACACCGCACAGCGCAAAGTGCAGGAATAAAATATGAGGAGTTTCAGACCAACCTGCCTGTCTGTCTTCCAGGTCCGGTGAAAAATGATGTGATCAGATGTTCACCAAGTGAAATGAAAAGCATGTTTCTTCTCATTTGGGTGTTGAACAACATGACCCTTAAATCATAGTAATCAGTAAATAAGTAATTTGGAAACTATCCGTTGTGGAGTTTGGCTTTCATAACTAAAATGAAAATAAATTCTAAATGACTTACGTCGCCGAACCTTGGCATAAAGTGCCGTACTCCTCTTTGGAATAAAATGTTCTCACTTGAGTCATATGAAAGTCAGGTGGGTCTAACAGGATGATATGATGGATACAATCCTGTCTCTTACTCAAAGGCACCTCTAGGAGGCTCGCCGAAAACAGGATTACTTATGTAAATAGCTCCACAACTGTAATCCGTTGTTGATAAGGTATCGGACTTGACACTAAAATTCTATAGATTTAGGTATTCCTTTGCTCTTTGATTTGTTGGCAATTGTACGTACCAACAAGCAGCAGAAGTTGAGTTTATGATTACAAGAGCAATGTTTTGAACTGGCAGCCCGGACAAGGACGAGATAATGTTCTCAGATAAACGTTTCCAGTGCCTTCCCTGGGGATGAGGATCACAGAACAAAATAGTCTGTCTTTTTTTTTTTTGAAAAGTCTCATACTTTTGGAGGTGACTATATATATCGAGGTACGTATTTGTCTGTCTATCTATCTATCTATCTATCTATCTATCTATCTTGGATGTCAAATCCTGCACACTTGAAATGTTTTTTTTTAATCAAATGTACATCACATCACTTCTAAAATTGCAAGATTTCAAATATGAACTCACTTCACTCAAAAGTCATAGATGTTGAAAAAACGTGCTTCATTTGGATCCTGTGGACTCTAGTAAAACAAACACACGCACAAATAAAAGCGGGTGAATACCCTAAACTTAGAACGCTGCACAAATCTAATCACATTTATTTTTTAATTTTTTGGACATTGGCATTATATTGGAATGCAATTTCTATTGGTATTGATCCAGATTTTTCATCATTATTTTTACGACCTCAGGGTTGTTCGGCATTAAAAATTCCACTGTATGGGCATATGCTGCATGTCTTCTCCCACTACCATGCATGCAGGCCTGTCACGCTTCAGACACATTGAACCTGCTCTTTGTACTAAATCTAGTTGACTCTTTTGCTTGTTCAAAGTCTTTTGTTAGAAGGCCAAGATACGAAGACAAAGACAAACGGCATGCAGGGTTGCAGACATGTTTCCAGTCTCACGACAGTGTTACTCATCCTCTGCCAGATAACCAGTCATCCACTCATCTATAAATAGGATAGTAGAGATGTTGGAGGACATTTCTGCTACAGAATTACCATGGAGACAGTGGTTAGTGTTGGGTTTAATACTTAATTTAGGGCAGGATTCTGTGTTACTTTTTCTTTAAATAATAAAATAAAAATAAATTGCAGAGGTCTGAGTCACCCTAGTTGGAGTCTAGAATAAATACCACTGTAATTTTGGGAAATTGCACAAAAGACACCAATAAAACCCTGAAGGTCATGTGTTTAACTTGATATCACTTACAATAAAATTAATTTGAGCCCAATTCTTCCGTTTGGCTGTTCAGCACATCTCAGATTCTTTTCAAGGGTTGCTTGGTTTTGCGCTGTACTGTGTTCGGATTCATGTATGTTGTGTTGATGGCGGGGTAGGTAACCTACATTTCTGTGTCCTCCTTGCTTGCTGTTTTTGTTTTTTTTTTTGTTTTGTTCCCTGTACCCACTACTGCTTCTGAAGCTATGCAAATGTCCTCATTGTGTGATTAATAAAACATTTTTAATGTAACCTAACCATCATACAATTTATCTTTATTCAATTCCACTCTTTGTTCCTTACTGGGGTAAGGTGATTAGAGACTTAACGCAATTAGTCTGTCTAGAATCATCAGTTACATGTGAGGGTTTTTTTTTCTTTTTTCCTGGACACATGCCGTAAGAATTTAAAATAGCATTGTGTTCCATTGGTGGAGTGGGGACTATTTATGGATATGGAAAAACTCTGCTGATGTTATTTGTGGATTATGTGGGCCAATCCTACGTTAACAGAGAATCCAACCCCTCTTCATATTCATGAAATCTTTCAGTTTCTCTATGTATGAAGATTCAATGTTGATCATTTAGCGACAACAGTTGTCTTACTAAATAAAAAGCAGTTGGTGAGCAGAATGTGCTTTATGTTGGAACAAATCAGTGAAGTGTAGTGAAACTGCAGTTTCAACTTGCACTGCTTGAGCCCTTACCAGGTTTGGTTGTTAAGGGAGTAACCCTGGGGATAATCCAACCTGCAAGTGAACTTGATGAACAAGGCGGGAGGCAATGGGAGGATTAAATAGAAAGGCATGGACTTTTGATGGGAGAATTCCAACACCGTTTCGTTGCTTTTGCTTTGTCAGCCTGAGGCCATATTTGTAATGTAGCGTGCCAAGATTTTCATGAATGGCTCGACTACTGCGCCTTTTTGCTTGACAAAGAAAAAAAGGGTTGATTTGAAAAAAGATTTCTGATTGTGTTGTGAGCTTTTCAATTTGCTGTGCTCCTGTTGCCACGGTAACTGTAAACACTGCTATAGCTATATGGAGGTTATAAAAGTCATTATCTTCTTTCTAAACATTTTCTTCACACACCTTTTTCAATATCCGCAGTCGACATGCCAATATGAAGTGATTATGGCCACTGTGATGAACGTCTTTTCCCTTCAACCACTGAGATCTAGGTCGTAATTGTTCGACCATTATCTCTTATCTAAATTTAAAAAGTGTATGCAAGTCTGGCCAACGTTTTGTAATGTGGTGTTGTAGACTGGTTGACTGCCATCATACGGTGGTTGTGATTGTACGTTCAGTGAATGTGAACGTTAGTAGATATGTCTTCTAAATTGAATCTTGTCCTGAGGCATGCCATCCAACATAATATGTCAGCTCAGCAGAGAAAAAGCCATAAAAATTAGATTGATGTGGTGAACTTCACTTTG